TAAGTTTGATTGATTCTTCATCAAGGTCGGAGGTGGAGGAGGAAGACTGATCATCATCATCATCATCCTCATCTTCTTCTTCATCTTCACTTGAGGAGCTTGAGCTTGTTTCAACTTCCTTGCCCTTCATCTTCTTTTTCTCACTACATGCGAGGGCTTTGCCTTTGCTTGATGAAGAGGCTTCTTCTTGACCCATCTTGCGTGACATTTCAAATGCCACTATCTTGCCAATGACTATGGGCGGGGTCATGGTGCTCAAGTCCTCCATGTTGTGAAGGATGGTGATGATGCTCGCACATTTCTTTTGTGGTAGCACGGAGATGATCTTCCTCACGATGTCCGCATCATCTAGCTTTGTTAATCCTATTGAATGGAGCTCATTGATAATTAGATTCAAATGAGAATACATATCACGAACAAGCTCATCATTATTCATTTCAAAGGAATCATAATTTTGTTTAGCTAGACAATGTTTTTGCTCACGGACATTAGTTGTGCCATCATGGAGCTCTTGGAGTTTTAACCAAATTTCATGTTCCGTATTTAAGGTGAACACTTGGTTAAACACATTCATGCTAAAAGATTCAAACAAGCAATTCTTAGCTCTAGCATTAAAATGAATTTCCTTTTCTTCATTCTTTGTGGGTTTATCGGGATTCTTAATGGGTTTCATCCCATCATGAGTGACTCTCCAAACACCCAAGTCGACCGCCTCAAGATGATAAGCCATTCTAGCTTTATAATAGGGGAAGTTAGTTCCGTCAAAGTGCGGAGGCCTAGAGGTATCCATCCCAACCACTCTAAATAGCGTCGGCTCAACGGCGGTTAAGCTAAAGGTCCAAATTGAGCCAACCGGCTCCGATACCACTTGTAAGGGACCATGACGCCGAAGAGGGGGGTGAATTAGGCAACTTAAAACTCTAACTCTAAGCTATGGCCTATTTTTCTAACCTTAGCAAAACCTATGCAAAAGATAAACTATCTAAATATGCAACTACGGTTTTACTAGTGTGTTGATATCTCTACCACAAAAAGGAGTTATGCAAACAATGTAAATGCGAAAGCTAAAGAGTAAGGTAGAGATATGCAAACTCCCATCGATGACTCCGGTATTTTTACCGAGGTATCAAGAAGCGCGCAAGCTTCCCCTAGTCCTCGTTGGAGCCCCTCGCAAGGAATCCCTCGCAAGGGCCAAGCTCCTAGCTGGGTATCTCCGTGGATAGCCTCGGGCCTTCCCCATAAACAAGTGGGTCTTCGATGTGCCTTCTGACAAGCCTCTCCCGGACCGCTCCCCACCGTCTTCACTATCAAGCTTCCCGCCAAAACGCCGCGGGCCTTGTTCCCTCCGGTACACGGTGGCGGCCACACCACAAACGCGGTTGGTGTGATCTCGTAAGACTACAAGCCCCTCTAATGTACAACAATGGTGTGCACAAGCACCGAGTGGTAAGAGGTATGCAAACCTCACTAAACACTAGGCCTAAACCTAGAGCAAGCGCATAAGCATTGGTCTAATCAACCTAAGCACTTCGCAAAAGCACCTACGCTGATCACCTAATGAATCACTAAGCACTATGCAAGTGGAGATCACTAAAATGGTGTATCAACACCCTTCATATGTTTTCTCAGCTCCACTCTACTCAAATGGCCGATTGGGGGTCTATTTATAAGCCCCACTGAGAAAGTAGCTGTTGGGGATGAAATCTCACTTTTCTGCTACTGACCGGACGCTGCTTTCATCCTGACCGGACACGTCTGGTCGTCTCAACCGTTAGAGCTGTGATCAACTGATCGGACGCTGGCAGCGTCCGGTCACATGCCACCAGATGGTTCCGGTCACAATTTTGCCGCTCTGGAACCTCTCTGTACTCGATCGGATACTGCAGTTCTGCGTCCAGTCGATTTGCCGACAGCGTCCGGTCAGTACTGAACGTGTTGCCGATGATGATGAACAGTACCATTGGTGTGTCTGGTCACTTTCAGTCCTCAGCGTCCGGTCGCTACTGCTGACGCGTGCTGTTGCCGAGCCTCTTGATCGGAGCGTCCGGTCGCTTTCAGGGTTGCGTCCAGTTACTTCTGCGAGCTCGTTTCTTCGTGATCTGGCGTCCGGCTTGGTTCCTATCTTCGTGCTTGGACTTTGCTTGATATCTCGGGTCTTCTCTTATGCTTCTAAGGTCTTGCTTATGGTGTTGATCATCGGATCATCACGTTGTCTTCGTCCAAGTCACATCTTGCACCCTTTTGAACTATAAAACAATCACTTGTAAATTCATTTGTCCAATTTGGTTGTGTTGGTCATCAAACACCAAAATCCAAAGTAAATGGGTCTAGGGTCCATTTTCCTTACACCTCTCGACCGATGCCCTATCCCCTAGCCAACTCCATTCAGCCAACGCCCCTCCTTCTCTTGCATGAACTCTCTCTTTGCAGTGCGCAAGTGGTTGCGCGAGCTCGAGGCGGGTGCTCACCGGTGTCTCTCTAGCTCCCTCCATCTCTGGTCTCCCCCCCATCTTCCCTATCTTCCTCTTTAGGCGCGGGTGGTTGGTGGTAGCATGCTCAGGATCTAGCGAGGAGAAGTGTGCACGGTGGGGCTAAGATCTGGCGAAGAGAGCTCTCATGTGAGATTGGGGTCACCTGTTTAAAAATCTAGTTGCTGAAAGGTGTGCGTGCACGGGATCATCGGTGGAGGACAACTCCACCACGTGTGCGGTCATAGGTGGTCGCAATCGCACGAGGAAAGTGGTCATCTCTATACTGTGAGTTCACCCCGCTGCCCAACCCTCTCTCACTCTCCTTCTTTCTCTCAGACCTCCTCTCACCCCCTCAGCATGGGTGGCACATGGAGGAGGCGGCCACCGACGATGGCGGAGTGCGGAAGAGACTAGATTGACCAACCATGTTGTATTGTTCGCCACTACACTAACATATGATTAAAGGGCTAGTTCAAAGGATTGTGCTTCACAAAAAGTTACCTAGAGGGAGGGCATAGGTGAATAGGTGAACTGCAATTTTTTTAGAAAAAAAATTCATGTAAATGTGTTAGCAAATTGTTGCTCACTTGAGTATGAGTAATGAGTTGGAATGTTAGAGAATCTATAAAGTATCCCTCAAATTAGAGCCCTAAAATGTTAAAGAGGGTTTACACTATTTTTATAGTCCTCACTCCTTCAGCTATAGTCGTAGTAGCCCCTAAATCTCGGCCATCATTTTCTTATGACATGTTTACCTGTGTGTCATTTGCTTGGGATTTTCTTTTCCTTTTTCTCCTTCAACAAAATTTCGCCAATTCTAGATGGAGGGTCAAGGCAGAGCGACGACAAGCATGGATGCATGTAAAGAGTTGAGCTCATATAGGTTGGCGTGTCATGTCATGTCGGGGAGGTAAGACACATGAGGTTTGAGCTAGGCAGAGCAACAAGGCAACATCCAGTGAGGAGGGCCTCCTTGTGAGCTTTGGTGGAGGATGTGACTCTATGCAAACTCTAGTACAGAGGATGTTCACTAGCGTAGAATCGCTTAGAGGAGGACGAGAGAGGGGGCAAGAGGCATATGAGATTGGGGATAGTAAGTTGGCATGAGCGGTGGAGAAAATTGGGGAGAATGACATGAGAAGCTAAGGAGGGTTGCATGGGTTGCCGAGGGCCAGCGTGTGCGGGTAAGCATGGGACAGAGTAAGGCCTTGCCTAGAGAGGTTTTTTTTTGCCTTAGCCACAAAGTAGCTGCAAGTTGTGTTTTGTGATCCTTTTGGATATGTTTTTAAAGTTTTATATGATGGTCCAGTAGAAATAAGTTTTATTTTATATAATCAATGTTTCGCGGAGTATGTTTGGTTCCTTTTCCTCATCGGTCTCACAGTCATTCTAGGCTTGTTTGGTTGGCTACCAAGGTTCACTACGCTAAAGATTTGGCAAGCAAGAGTTACTAAAATTTGGTAAAAAAATATTTCTTATAGATTTTAGCAAGACAAATGTGAAAGGTTAGCAAATTCTAATAACAAACCAAACGAAAACAAAAAACCTAACTTATTCAAGTTTTAGCAACCAAATTTTGATCAAAGCAATGAGGCTCTCCATTCCCGTTCGTAGCACTTCATAGCAAAGAGCATCTCCTAATCTTGATTTTTTTGCAAGACAAAAGGAAATTCTCTCTCCAACAACACATTATTGTAGCTCCCAATCTATCTGCACATGGAAAAAAGGACCGCACGCACAAAAAATACGCGTCAACTCGGAGCGCTCCCGAACAGTCGAATCTTCAGAGTTCGCAACGTAAATGTATAAGAGACAAATGATGTATACAAGTGATTGAGGTGATTTGGAAATATATGGGTTCCTAATACAAAACTATCTTCTACTTTTTATACGTGAGATATTATTGAAAATGATCGATGAAAGACAACAAATATACTCCTACTTCGTTAGCAACTTGAAAAGATCATCGATTTACCATTTTTTTAAACTATTGGAGATAATACTTGGCTTAACGCCGAGGAAAACATTCCCAGCCGCTGCAAGTGGTCACTGACATGTTAGCCAGGCGATCCCGTCGCCTAGCAAGTGGTCACCGGCTCACGGCCACCGCCGACGAACTATTTGCGATTGCGGTCGCTGGGCCTGTGGCGTGGCTGTCCACACACAAGACGGGATCTTTTCCTCCCGGACTCCACTCCCCGATTCCGACGTGTTCCATGTCTTATCCGAGCGAATAATTGATTCTCCAGCCGCTAATAGGCATCCAAGATTCACCCCGCCCCCTTCGTTGTCTTCCCCTTGGTTGGTTGTTGCCGGGTTTTCTTGGCGAGCGACGGAGCCACAGAAATGGAGGGCAATAAGGGCGCCTAATTTTAGCGGCAGGGAGGGGAGCGAAGCCTGGGCAGCCACTCGCCGGCCTCCAAGAAACCGTCGCGATCTGTTCATCCGAGTGCCGCCGATTTTGGTTCCATTATTTTCTGTTTTCGCGGGGAACCAATTCGATTTAGTTAACGGAGAAGGAAGAGGAGGATGCAGTGGGCGGGTCTAAGGTCGCAGGCGCCGGTTCCCACGGCGGCGTGGACGGGGCCGAGGCCAAGAATCGCGAGGTGGCCGCAGGGTAGATTCACTGCAGCGCGCCGGGCGCTGGTGGCGTCGGCAGCGGCCTCGGACGCTAATTCGAGCTCGAATTCACCGGGGAAGGACGAGGAGAGGGAGGAGGTGGTGCAGAGGGAGAAGAAGGAGAAGGCAGTCGCGTCGCTGCTGATGAGGAGCCAGAAGTACGCCATGCTAAAGCAGCAGCTCGCCGTGGCCGCCCAATTTGAGGTACCAAGGCCGAGATAGAAAATTTTCAAATTTGGACTCTTCGTTGACCTGCAACATGGGATTGGTTGTGCAGGATTACAAGGAAGCAGCGAGGCTGAGGGACTCGCTGAGGTCGTTCGAGGAGGAGGAGCCCGTGCTGCGCCTCCGCCGGTTGATGAAGAAGGCCATTGACGAGGAGAGGTTTGAGGTATTGTACTCATGCCTTTTCCGCTGTTCCAAGCAATTCAATTACTTTCAGTTGCTTTAGCATGGTTGGATGATGAATATACATTGATGGATTATTCCAACCTCCAACCATTCTTATTGATGGTAGCTAACTGAGACAGGCTTTGTGAAGACCATGTGTGCTAGAAGTCTTTTATGATAATGACTGATTTACTCATATGTTGACTGAACTATTGGATGCATGATTCCTTTTCACCAATTGGTGGCACTAAAAGTTCAGATGAAGTCTTAGGGACACAAGGCATGTGCTTTTACCTTATCGCATCTGTTGCACTCTCTCATTCTCATGGTGGAATTGCATTTCCACTATTCCAGCCTCATGGTTGGGACTTTGAACTTTCAATTGTACCACTTGCGATGTAGTGCAACTTTGCTTTGCAGTCATATCAGAGAGCACGTAGCGTTTTGCTGCCTTTTCTGTTTAGGTTGCTACTGTAATAATTTTGGACTGATACATATTTGAAAGAGGATGCTGGAACTTTTTTCCATTGTCTAAAAAAAGGTGGCCACACCATGTTTATTTTTCATGCATTCATCCTTCCAGGATGCTGCTAAATACAGAGATGAATTAACGATTTTGGCTCCACACTCCCTCCTCAAATGTTCTAGCGATGCAACTACTTTGGTAAGTTTTTTTTTTCAGCACCTCCCTTTCAGTTTGGAAAGTACTTAGGAAGTACATTCGTTTTCCATGGCAAAATATTGATTGAAGTATTGTCGTTTTCCTTGTCAAAGTATGAAGTGTTGAAAAGTTTCCAGCTTACTATTGGAGCAAGAATATGCTAAGAAACTGGTCCAAGAGTTTTGTTTTGTTTTTTTTTCCCCGAGAATGTGAAACTTGTCTAAGAGTACGAGGAAAAGAAGTGATTAATAGGGTCAAGGTCATCACTGAATTATGTTCCATCTTACCTGGTCAAAACTGCACACCTTGGACATGTTTTATGTCTTCACATGTTGTGCTTGTAGAAAATGAGCACTTGAATGTGGACCATGTGATATTTTGAGACTGGAACTTGCATATTAGTGACAAAAAAACTTCTAGAGGTATTGGAAAAAAAGATCATTCATCTATAGGTATTTGCAGTGCTATGTCCCACGGGAATTTGAGATACCGAAGATGTTTTGCTATCAAAGCAAATCTGAAACAGCAGCCTAGGAATCCTAGGTTACCAGTTAACGCGTCACTGACTGAGAAATGGCCAAAAAGATTTCGCTTTCTCACAGTCATGACAGCGTTAGTGTATGTAATTAACTTAGATAAACTATTAGTTTATATCTTTGGGTGCAATATAATTTTCTGATACAGTTTTAGTGAAAATCTTTCTGATACAGTTTTAGTGAAAATTTTAGGGGATTAGAGTTCAAGTCAGGAGCGTCTATATTGAAAGCCGGAGCCAGCCATTGAAAGGCCAATTCTTTTTTGCTTATAGAATTAGAATCACGAATAATTCTCAGCGCCCTGTTCAGCTTCTCAGAAGACACTGGATTGTTACAGATGGAAATGGAAGGACGGAAAATATTTGGTTAGTGTTTACTGTAATGATACTATAATTTGTGTGCTAATATGATTGACATCATTGTTGTGTTAGGGGAGTTGGAGTAGTGGGAGAACAGCCTGTCATATTTCCGAAGACTGGTTTTGAGTACTCTTCTGCGTGCCCATTGAGCACTCCAAATGGGAGAATGGTAAGTCTACAGAAGTTTCTGCAAAGAAGTTTCAACAACAGTTTGCTGTTATGTTTAGCATTGCCTTTTTCTGTACCTAGAAAATAGAAGTAATTTGAACCCATTTTGGATTGTAGGAAGGTGACTTTGAGATGAAGCACATCGACAAGGCTGGATCATCAACATTCAATGTCGCAATCGCGCCATTCTCTCTGTCAATTCTTGGGGACGACAATGATGTTCTGCTCTAAACCACAATGAGATTTAAACTAGACACACAAACACAAATAGTTACTGTTAGCGATGTAGTTGAGTGTGCAAGGTTCAGGTGAAACAACTAGGGTTGACCGATGGCTGGAGCCAAGTACCCTGGTGCAAAGGTTAGGCACAGTTTGCTGGAATGTTTGAATCTGGACCATGAGTGTCAATTATGAGGCACAATAGGACATCCTATCAATTGTACAGCGTGGAACTATAGAGCTTGCTATAATGTACTTCATTCCAAATTATAAGGCATTTTGGTTTTTCTAGATACATAACTTTTGCTATGCACTTAGATATACACTATATCTATATATATATATAGTAAAAATAATATATTTAGAAAAATCAAACGTGTTATAATTTGGAATGGAGGGAGTAATATACAGTATATTTTTTATTTTTTCCATCACCTTAGTGATCATGGCCTTTTATTACACTGTATATCAGCTCAGCAATGTATGGTGTTGATATGGTCGTTTTTTTTTAGGGAAGGGATATGGTCGTTGATGCTTCAACTGGACACTCGCGGTGCATTGCATTTTTGAAGTGGGCCTGGCCAGCAAGTTACTACTTTAATGGGCCTAATATAGATAACTGGGCTGGACTTTGGTGTGCGCACCTGGCCTGTGCATCGCTGCTTGCTTTGTCGATTAAACGGATATATGTCACCTGGCCTGTCCATGACGTGCTGGGCTGGTGTTCAGTCGAAGTCCATAGGCGCACTCCTTTTTTTTTTTTGAAACTCATAGGCTCACTCCTTGGGAAAGTCGATGTGGCGATGGATCGCGCTTCAGCTTGAGTGCGTGACACCGGCCTGGCCCAGCTAACTATACTAACATTAAGGTCAGGCTGGATCATCAAATACAGTCTAACCCAGAAGACGGAAAAGCTTCCGCAGGCCAGCTAGCTAGCGCGTGGCAGCGCAACCTAGCCGCCAGTTGTGAGAGTAGTTAACCATTACGGCAAGCCTAGCACCCGAACGTCCGATTCTAGGCCTACATCCGGACACGGCTTCATAGAGACGCACACCCACCGCGCAATAGGAGAGCGCCCGCCCACCGCGCCCATGTCACCAAGAGCCTGTGCCCTTGCTCTCAAACCACGACGTACGCAACACACTCCGCCCAGCACCCATCCCGCTCCGGAAGCAGCGTCCGTTCGTACCGAGGCCCCTCACTTGCGCCCGACGCACGCAGCTCCCTCGTCCCACGCCCATCGCGCCCATCCCTCGTTCGTATGGATGCTCTGCCGCCTCCGGTAGAGACGATGCAACAAAAGGTGGGAGGAGGAGAGATGCAACACCCGATCTACTTTTAAAACATCTAAATACAATGGTTGCAACATACGTCGGAAGGCAGTTGAAACACTTGAAACATGCTTATGAAATACTTGAAAAACACACCTGAAACACACTTGAAAACCATTGCAACGATACACAACATCCGAATAAAACACATGCAATGTGGATCATATGCAAACATCTAGATAAACACAATTGCAACATGTGTTGCGGAAAACATAGATGAAACATTGGGAACAAAAGCTTGCAACATATGTGTACAACCATTGCAACATATGCAACATCTCGATCTACTTTTGCAACATCCGCATGAAACAATTGCAACATACCTATGGAATATCTGAAACACTTGAAATAAATACTTGCAACATGTACTCTCAAGCGCAACATCTGCTTAGACGAATGGCTGGTACGACTCCACCGCCCGCTGGCTCTGATCCATAGCTGCCGCCCCCATAAGAGGAGAATCGAACCCACCACGGTCGCGGTCGTATCGGAGGGCGGGATTTGGGATGGGGAGCAGGTGGAGGGCGTGGACCGGGGCAACACTGCGCTCCCGTGCCAGAGCTGTGCATCCCGTGCCAGAGCAGGGCCGCGCGCCTGAGTCGGATTTGGGCCCGCGCCGTGGCAGCCACCGGGGTCGTGCCCGTCCCCGCACCAGTGTTGAGGCCGGGGGTGGCCGACCGGAGAAGAGGAAGGGGGTTGCTGGGGGTGGCCGCATGGATCAGAGCTCGTGCTCGCGCCGGGGCCGCCGTCGCGCCAGAGCAGGAGGAGGGAGAGGGAGGCAGCGCGGCGTACGGTGTAAGGAAAATGGACCCTAGGCTTATTTACTTTGGATTTTGATGTTTGATGACCAACACAACCAAATTGAGCTAATGAATTTGTAAGTAATTGTTTTATAGTTCAATAGGGTGCAAGACGTGACTTGGACGAAGGCAACATGATGATCCCACGATCAACACCATAAGCAAGACCCTAGAAGCACAAGAGAAGACCCAAGATATCAAGCAAAGTCCAAGCGCGAAGATGGAAACCAACCCGGACGTAAGATCGTGAAGAAACGAGCTCGACAGAGGTGACCGGACGCAGACCTTTGAGGACCGGACGCGTCCGATCAGTTGCTCGGCAACAGTAGGCGTCAGCAGCAGCGACCGAACGCTGAGCGAGGCAGTGACCGAACGCACGGACTTCACTGTTCATCATCAACGGTAATGCTCTCAGCGTGACCGGATGCGACGGCAAGACGATCGGACGCACCAAGAAGTAGCGTTCGATCATGTCAAGAAAGGTTCTAGAGCGGCGCCAGCGCGACCGGACGCGTTCGATCGAGTGAGACCGGACTCGGCCCAGAGTCCGATCAACACGCGCGCTCCAACGGTCGGTAGGACCGGACGCGTCCGATCGAGACGTGATCAGCGTCCGGTCACTAGCAGAAAGTTGGGTCTTGGGTCCAACGGCTAGTTCTCACTTGTGGGGCTATAAATAGACCCCCCAACCGGCCATTTGAGATATGGAGAGCTGATGAAACATACCAAGGGTGTTGATACACCACTTTAGTGATCTCCACTTGCATAGTGCTTAGTGATACATTCAGTGATTAGCGTAGGTGCTTTACGAAGTGCTTAGGTTAGTTAGACCACCGCTTATGCGCTTGCTCTAGGTTTAAGCCTAGTGTTTAGTGAGGTTTGCACACCTCTTACCACTCGGTGCTTGCGCGCACCATTGTTGTACATCGGAGGGGCTTGTAGTCTTGCGAGATCACACCAACCGCGTTTGTGGTGTGGCTGCCACCGTGTACCGAAGGGAACAAGGCCCGCGGCGGTTTGGCCGAAAGCTTGATAGTGAAGACGGCGGGGAGCGGTCCAGGAGAGGCTTATCGGAAGGCACACCGGAGACCCACTTGCGCGTGGAGAAGGCCCGGGGCTATCCACGGAGTTACCCGACCGGGAGCTTGACCTTTGCCAGGGATTCCTTGCGAGGGGCTCCAACGAGGACTAGAGAGAAGCTTACGCGCTTCTCGATACATCGGTAAAAATACCGGAGTCGTCGACGGGAGTTTGCATATCTCTACCTTACTGTTTAACTTCCGCATTTACATTGCAATCTTGGTTTGTTCTTTACTTTCCTAGCTTAGTGATAGGCTAGTTGATAGGTTTGGAACCTAGGTTGCATAACTTCTTTTTGCGGTAGAGATAGCAACACACTAGCAAAACCGTAGTTGCACATTTGGATTGCTTATCTTTTGCATAGGTTTTTGCTAAGGATAGAAAAAGAGGCTATAGTTTAGAGTTGGAGTTTTAAGTTGCCTAATTCACCCCCTCTTAGGCGTCACGGTCCCTTACACACGGCTCGTGCGATGCGCGTGGGGGTGGGGCGAGGGGACGTGGCTCGGCAGACGAGCGTTGCGGCGGGTGCGGAGATGCCGTGGTGGGGGAAGGGGCGCGGGAGGAATGAGCGGATGCGAAAATGAGCGGACGAAGACGTCCATTCGTCCGGACGTATGGTATGTATCATTATCATAACCATTAACCAACGTGTAGATCATATTTGTCTTTTGACCGGCAGTTTTATTTTTTTTATGAAATATCTACTTTTAATTTCATTTACACCATTGTGTTATATAAGATGAGATCTATAAAAGTAGACCGTACAAATGTTTCAAAATAGTTGCATTGCATTTTCATTATTTTCTTGCTATTCACATATCAAAAATTGTAGCTTATCGGCCTAATCTCAACATACTACGTCAAGACTTCCTTAAGCCCATATAAATTGTCATTCGTCAATCGATCAACTAGGATCTTCCTCTCCATCCTTCAATCACACACATGGGTGCATGCATAGGCATCGTATGTATCTATCGCCTCTAACCTACACCTAATCCTCAACTATCATTCAAATCTTAATTCTCACTTAAACCTAAGACTGGCATGTATACGGATACAGACATAACGTCGCGGCGTGACGTGCAGCCGGTGATATAGACAGGCTTTAATTTAGGAATTCCCAACTTTAAAATTCTGAATCGCCACTGCCATTCAGAAGAGCCCTGCCAAAGGGCTCCAAACGTTTGCTGCCCATGGAAGAATTTCCTTTTGTTGCTAGGCCGTGAGTGCTGAGTGGTGATACTGTGATACTCTCATTTCTTTGTTCATTTTGCTAGCTGTTGCTCTTTTATTTTATATTACTTTGTTATATCTCATCCTACAATTTTTTAGGGTGTGTCTTGCGTGCCTTGCGCCTCATTCCGCCACGTATCGTGATCCAGCTATCGGTAACGATGGCAGCGGGTCGGATAAAGTGGAGGTAAAGTAAATATACGTCCATGACAAATTGTCTAATTGATAAAATTTCATACCTCCGTCGATGCCTATAAGCATACGTACCATTAGTATGGTACCATAGGTTTAGATTGTTATTATAATAAATAAAATCCTACTATCTCAGTCTCAAAATAAGTGTAGTATGTAATAACACGTGGTCATGAACACAACCTCCTGTAAGCTAGTTACTAAATCACTGCTAAATCTGAAAGATCCCTTTCTGAGTTCCTCCCTCGTGAAATGTCAAGGCGCCGCGCTGCATTGCATGGCCGCCGTGGTTTACTGCCGGTGGCGATCACATCTCCGGCCCCAGATCGTCACGAGCGGCGCACGCTACCCTCCTCGGCGCCGCACTGCTTAGCACCTACGCGACGCGCAGTCCCCGGCCACCGGTAACGGAAGCCAGCCAGCCAGCCAGGGGCGGGGCGGGCGGTGCGCTACGGACAAGCAGTATGCAGGCACCCGTCCGGCCGCGCGGCATGCACGCAACGGCAGCATCCGCAGTGGCGTCACCGCGTCTGCAGCCTCGACCAGTGAGGGCATTAGGCCGGTGTGCTGTGGTGTGCTCCCCGCTTTCCCACATTGCCTCGATACGACTCTCACTATCCCCTGGCCGCAGCAGTTTCCGAACGAACCCTGTGCTGTGCGCGGCCCGTCGGGGCCGAGAGAGAGAGAGAGAGAGGGGGGTATCTAAACGTACGGCGGCGCCATGGGCGGGCGTGGAGCTCCGGAGGCGACAAGGAGGCTGGTGGTGGCTGTGGTGGGCGTCGTGGTCGCTGTGGCGGCGGTGCTTTGCCCCACCGCGGCTGGGAAATTAGGCAAACAAGGTACGTGCTGTGCTGGTGCTGCAGTGTTATTTTTCCTCCGTCCGACCGGCCGCCGGCGTGTCCGTCAAAGCAAAATCAGATCGATCTTGTGCTCGATCGACGCGCTCTTCTTGGTTCTTTGCTGCTGCGTTGCGTTCCTTTCCATCCATCAACGTCGTGGTCTTGCATGTGGTTTGCAGCCAAGGCGCTGGTGGCCATCAAGGCGGCGCTGCATGATCCCGGCAACGTGCTGTGGGACTGGGACCTCAAGTTCGGCAACGACCCGTGCCACTGGAGCATGATCACCTGCCAAAAGGGACAAATTCAAGAGCTGTACGTTCTCCTCATCCTGTGCATATATGGACGTTTGTTTCTGTTCTGCCATGATTTTGACGTCCGGTTCATGGTTCTCTGCGTTTGTACGCTGTTCGTAGGTCTATGACGAACAAGAACCTCTCTGGCACACTGTCTCCGGCGGTCGGAAAACTCAGGTTGCTGCGATATCTGTAAGTCAAAAAGATCCAAAATTTCTATTAGCCTGTTCGCTTGCTCGTAAACGATCGTAAATTTTCAGCCGGGAACAGTGTTTTTCTCTCACACCAAACCAGCCAACAGTAAATAATTCACGATACGATACGGCCTCCCGAACAGGCTGTATGTTAGCCCTGTCCAGAACATATGTAGCAGGAGTGAATTTTTAGGGAACTCTGAGGGGAGAGTTCTAGTGAGATTCCTTTGAAATTTCCAGGCTGTACTAATTTTTTAACACATTCAGTTCGTTGCATGCAGCCATGCACTTCCTACTTGCTGTTGTGAGCTGTGACTTGTGAGGAAATGAAGAGTTTGTTCTCAATTTTTTGGCAGGTTGTTAAGCCTTAATGCTCTTTCTGGCCCTATCCCTGACACCGTAGGCAGGATGAAGCTGCTTGAAGTACTTGACCTGTCAAACAATCATTTCAGTGGAAGCATCCCAAGTATACTGGGTCATCTGGCCAAACTGCAGTACCTGCAAGACTAATAAATCTTCCTGATGCCAACATTATATCCAGACATATCTGTATCCCAGGTTCCGTTTAGATTCCAAAATTTTTTGCGCAGTACTCGTCACATCGAATCTTACGGCATATGTATGGAGTACTAAATGTAGACGAAAAAAAAACTAATTGCACAGTTGCGTGAGAAATCGCGAGACGAAACTTTTGAACCTAATTAGTCCATAATTAGACACTAATTACCAAATACAAACGAAAGTGCTACAGTAGCCAAAATCCAAAAAATTTTGGATCTAAAGGGGCCTCAGTTTTGTAGATTATCTTTAAATCTGAAGATTGATCGAGTCACATGATCTTTATTTTATCGGCCTTTTGTCTCTTTCCTCCAGGAAATTGAATAATAACAGCTTATCTGGACCTATACCCGAATCACTAGCCACTGATGCTCCCATGATCTTCAGCCTGTACTTTCTATTGACAACCTTCTTTTTATCATTGCCGCATTGTTCTTTGAATGAATATGATTCTCACTGTGAGTGTGAGCTTTACCCATCATTCCTCATTTCTAAGAAACAAAAGTTATTTATGTTCTACAGGGATGTTTCCTTCAACAACCTGAGTGGTCACCGGCCGACTTTTCGAACATGGAATGTCTTGTAAGTGATCTCAAGTTCATATTTTCGTTCCCTGTATCAACTGGGGCAACATGAGCTTTGGGGGTAAAGCTATTTATATATGGTTTTCCTCCTTTCTCATTTCCTTAATCTATTATGCTTGAATAGTTTCGAGGGTAATCCATTCCTAAGTGATATCGGCTCAGAGTCAATTGCCCCCCCCCCGCGCCCCCCCCCTAGGCCCAAAGGATGAGAAAGAAGGTTGTTCAGTGTCCAATTCTGGACACTTCCAATTTCATTTTAGTAAAGTTAACTAATTCAAGTGAGCATATTTTCTTGTGAGTATGTGTGCTCACCACAATTTTTTTTTTCTGCAAAGGTTTTTCAAGTCATGAGTAAAAGCATTTTTATCCTCCTACTATGAATAGGAATTGGTTGTTTACTGGTGGCCGTTGTGGCTGGAGCTATCCTGTTTTGGCAAAGGCGTCAGCGTGAGCGAGTCTTTGCAGTTGCAGATGGTAATATTTTTTCTTCAAATGCTATATACGTGTTTAGATCTGTTGAACTTTGGGGACATTAGTCTGAAAAAGGGGTTGACAGATTCATGTCTCACATTGCAGATGAGGATCCTAGTGTTACATACGCTGGGATCATGCAGCTCTATCTTCTTATTAACATGTTTGCCATTGCATAAGAAATTTGTTTAGAAATAAAAATGTTTCATTGTTGTATGGACTGTTTATACATAGACACGTATCATAATACCCCCATTCAGTAGATATATGAAATTATATTGGAGTCCATATATATTCTGGTTTTTTGTTGTTGTTTTCCTTTATTGTTTTATGTCTTATTTTCATGAAGATTGTATCAATACCCCTCGGTCTCATCGTTGATCACGCCCCTTGGTTCCAAGAGGTTCTAAGTCAATTGATGGCCCATCCATAAGATGTGGGAGCGTAAACTCACTCGGCATTTGAAATCGCTAATCCATGACGATATGTTTCCGAGATAATTAAAATTTGCAACCCATTTATTTTGACTACTATTTGTTTCCTTAATCATCATTCTTGATTGTACAGAAAGAAAGGCAAGAAATGATTGTGTCAATCCAAAACTCATAATCGAATGGCCCACTAAATAACATAACTTGATGATGGAGTTTCGAGGTTTGTTCTAAGGCACCGCCTTGTAGGGCTATAGTGTTCATCGCTTGGCTTAGGGAGGATTGGTCCTAGGATGGTGATATTAATGGTGCAACAGCGAGTGTCAATGGTAGCAATGACCCGGGGGGGCATTAGGGAACATGCGGCACTGAGGGATGGTGTGTTGGATGTCATCTGCCATGACAAAAATATGGCTCAACAAAGGATGCCAAGAGGAACAGAGCTAAGGGGGAGGCATGGCCATTAACCACATCTGAGTGTCCCATTCCATAGATTGAAGAGTGAGAAGCTACGTTGGTTGGGGTTTTCGGAGAAGGCATGCATATTGCTTCTATTGGAGCCACTAGGGACCTTGCCTTTTGGTTTGCCCCAAGATCCAACTCTTGATCCACTAGAGTTAGATCCAATAGAGGAGGGGGGCTTGGGGATGCTTATTTCAAATGACTTGAGCAGCGACTGTGATGGGTTAGAGATTTGATGTCGTCTTCTTCCAAGAGAAGCAATGATCATGCGTTAAGGAAAGATGGTGGTGGCATATTCATATTGATTATGGATGCCACTGAGTGCATATTCTCATTTAGGCCATCAAGGAGCATGATGATAGGGTGGCACTTCAATTTTGTACCGTATTTCACAAGGTTAAATGTTGGTGATGGTACAACTAATGTATAGGTGAGTTCAGTGGCTCTTGATTCCTTGTGAATAGCTAAGCATGTCCACCTTGGGCCATGGTTTTGAAACTTAATCTCTAGAGACAAGGCATGTGAGTCTTGTTACTCTAGAATGTATTCTTGTTATTCTTGAATGCATTCTTGTTATTCTAGAATGCATTATTGTTATTCTACAATGAGGGCAGCTGCCTAAGGGCACGAAAGGTTTTGGACTCCCTTCAGAAATCGGTTGGGGAACAGAAGCTCACCTGGCAAATCGGTGATAGCCTGACCTTCCTGCACCTGTCCGGATGGACGTTATGCTTGTTGTCCTCTGGCATATTTGGAAGTCCTGGAACACGCTCATCTTTAACTCGGAGGACATCACCACGGCCTACATCCAGCGCAAAGTGTCTAAAGATCTCTGCTCCAAGGCTGGTAGATTCTAGAGTAACAAAGTGCTCATTTTTACATGGTTAGCTTAAGTCCAGAACCATCTCTCAGAATTGTAATCTCTACCTTTGCTTCTCCCCTCTCCCTGCTCCTCTCTCTCGGTATTGCCTTGCAACATCTTGTAAATGTACAACCAATTTCATTGGCTCAATAAAAAGTAGGTGGGAATCTCCCCCTTGAATTGATCGAATAAACCTTGATCGCTTGTGTTGTGACATCAAGGGTGATGAAGGTAACAAAGTGTGCTATGAAGATGGATCCATAGAGCACTCAAGTGCACCGAATAAATTGGGTGCCACCTAGGTCATGTAGGATGGTTGGCACGACTGGTGGAGTTGTGCCCTCAATATGCTACATATCAATCGAGTTTTGATTGGGATGTTCAAGAGCTCATGCCATCAAGAGTAACTAGGGCCATGTTTAGTCTAGCTCCACGTGATATGCTGCGTTGAAGGAGTCAGAGCCCTACAGACGGAGCCATTTTTTGGCACTCTGGCTCCAGGAACCAAAAATAGCTCCGGCTCCTCTCATGGGAGGGCAGAAAGTGCTCCTCCACGCGATCTCGTTTGGTGCTACTTTGCCCATTCCGGTGCGGGAGCCACACTAGATGGTCCCTAGGAGGATATTAGGTAAAGGTGAAAGGAATGTGCTAACACACATTGGTAGTGAAGGGTATTGAAGTTGGATTTGGAGGAGCCATAGGTTGGAGGACGATGATGATGTAGTGGCAAGGGTTGTGGTGGGTTAGCCAATGCATGGAGGAGGGATATAAGAGGTGGAACACATAGAACTAGCGGTTTAGCTTGATTCCATGAAAGAATATAGGTTTACGATAATAATAAAGACATTCTAATGGATAACAATTACACACTATAGTACTAGATGACATGGATTTGGAGTACATAAAACTACAATGGACATGCTATACATGGAAGGTTACATTTCCATAGATCAATAGTCACTTATTGCCAAGTGGGTCATATGAGGCATAGTAGCACAAGCTTGTTGCCTTATTTCGCGAACGATGAACAAGGGTAAGGAGTCTAATCGTGATCACAACAGTGTCTTTAAAAATACGGGGTCATAAAAAAATTCAACCTTTGGGTGAAAGATCGCTCCCGCGGCATTGCGTTAAGAAGAAACTTCTCGCACAAACGTTGAGAAAAACCCTAGAGGCCAGCTGCTGGACATGTCACTGAATGCCTAGGACACATGCCTGTGGCCATGTGCATCTCGATAAAAGCAACTTCGGTGGTTACACATCTATCTAAAGGTCACAACCGTCGTTGAGTGTTTTTAACCCTAGGCATGTTAAATTCGCTCCTACGGTGAGTCGAACCTAAGACCTGAGGTGCTACACTAAGGATCTTGTGAGCATTTGGCTATAGAACCATTCGCAATACAAGGAGGTCATGCTTGTTTTTTATGCAAAGAATACTAGGTGGGCCCAAACTGGCATGACTACTAGCTTGTTGGTATAGCAGAAGATATATCCAAAATGTTGAGGATCCACTTCTTGTTTTCTAGAAAGAACCTTTCCCCTTCACCAAACTCTAGATGTGGTACCTCAATCTTTGTTCAAGGAGTTATATATTTGTAACACAACTTAGCCAAATTTCAATATATGATTG